ACTCTGCTGTTGCACCGCCAAAGGGAGAAAGAAAGTAAAAGATCGACAGAAAGACAGGCGCCCCCTCACAAGACCCTCCCCGCTGATCTCTGCGTGGGGGCAGAGGACAGATTCAAACATCCTTATTGCTATTACTCCAAAGAGGTGGGTCACGATCACAGTGTCATCGCCAGGGGGAAAGAAAAGAAAACATGTTTCCTAAAAACGACGACGGTAGTTAGGTATGTACGAGTATTCAAGTACATAGGAAGAGAGTATGACTGTTTGCGAGTCATTCGTCCGGTGAGTGTGTGAATTTCTGGTACCACGGTACTGTACAGTACTCGAGTAGGTAGGCAAAGTATGGTAGGTCATGCTTTGAGTTGGTTGCGACGCGCTCCGCGCGAAATGATGGCGAACCCGCTTGCCGGCGCCGGGGGCGGAAGCGCAAGCACTTTTGGCGAACAGCCACTTTCTTCTGGGAGCTGTGGACAAAAGTGTCGGCTCGCTCCAGAAAATATTGCGACCTAACCCTGACGTTCAGGTACTTGTACCATACCTCCCGGGTGAGAAGAGTTTCTACCGGAGATGGAAGGAGGGAAGGCAGTGGCTGTCGTGAAGAGTTTGGGCAAAGTTAGATTAGGCCTTCGCTTCTGCTCGATAATGACGATACCGGTATCGTATCGGATGCTTAATCTTATTGTGCCCTTTCTAATGCATAATTATCGCAATAAACCCAGCCAGAAGGAAATCCTCTGAACCCTGTCGAGCTGAACCTGTACTCGTATGCGGCACAAAAACATACCCCGGACTAAAACGGGCGGTGTCATGTTCCACCCCACCATCCTACCTTCCTTTCCCACAGGAACCATGCGGGGAGGACTCAGGTCAAAGTCAAGTACCACCCATTCAGTGTCTGCGTGCACCTCTTGTGCTCGAGTACCAAGCTTTTCTCTTGGCGAACTGAGTTTCTCCCTCTTTCGTTCGTTTTACTCACATGTCGCACGAAGAGATTGTCGAAATCGCACTTGTATGCTCATCCAAGTACGGTACTCGTGTAATACCAGTACCAGCTGCGTCCCCTACCCTATCACACCCCGCCCCAAAGTTTTAGATTAGACGGGGAACTCGACGGGGATGGTGGTGGTGGTGGTGGTGGTGGTGAAAAATTTTTCGCTTTCGGTTTGGTTGGGGATTTGATTTATCGTGGCCCGAAGATGTGCTTCTGGTTCGCACAGCCTGTTGAGGTTTGTTTTGTGTTATGGTCGGGATATTGGATGCTGAGGGTAATGATGGTGGGTGAGATGGTAAGGCCTGGTAAGGCCCGATCACAACCATGCCAGATCCGTACCTGTACTGTACGGTACGAGTACTGTACTCGCACTAGGACAGTCCACAGCGAAACATTAATTGATGGTTGACGAATTTGATTTTCCCTTTTGGAACAATGGGTGTGTGGGAAGATGGGAAACGACGATGGCTACCGAGAAAAAACAAAAACCTTTGTCAGAAAGAAAAAACAAAGTACCGTAGAAAGGAGGGAAGGAAAGAAAAAAGAAGACACCGGTACGAGTAGATCATACGGTGGTGGTGCTACTCATATGCCCTGCTTTTGCTATCCCATGGCTCGATTCGGTGTAGCTGTAGTAGTATGATGCGCGGTTAACAACCACAAGATACATAATCCCACTATCTGGGGGATCGACCGCGCATTCCATGACTGTTGTTGCTCGCTCTTGCACCGGTACTAGTACCATCCTGTACAGTACTGTACGTACAGGTGGAAGGGATTCCCTCCTGTCGTGAGGTGCGTCGAGGTCGCGGCCCTGGCAGACCACCGGTAGCTGACAAGCGATGGGACTATTGCAAGTGCTGACTATCGTGGAATGAAAAACTCGCACACGCACCACTCTTCGTGGTAACACGCACACACATACGCAACATCGCCCATAGGATTTTACAAGAAATACTAGCAGCAGTGGTGGTACAGTACTCGTTGTTATGATAGGCATATCATAGGCAATCTGAACCCTACGAGTACGATTCATAACCGCTCTACAACGCGGACAAGGGAATATCCAGACTGTGGGAATGTCCTATCGCACTTGTAAGCATACGCACACAAAAGTAAGTAAAAAAGCCACGATGATAATTATGATACCTCGATATGGACACCTAAACCTATGTTGACCCCCATGTACAGTACTGTACCCCCCCTCCACTCGTACATCCTTTCTTAATGGGGTTGCGGTATTCTCAACCTCAATTCCACCCTAACCCAGCACGCTCAACCCGACCTCCTCCCCCCCCCCAAAGTGGCCAGTTCCCCATACCGGTATGATACCACCGCAACACACTAGAGCACGCTTCACCAAATCTAGTATCGCAGTGAATTGGTGCCATATCAAAAACTTGACAGTTGTCCCCTCCGTTCGCCTCGTCCCTCCCTGCTTTCCCCCCCCAGCGAAACCCCTGTCACTCTTTTCTCCATCCGTCCATCCATCCATCCAATGTACAGTATCAGTGCTACTGCGCTACAGATGCTGCTACTCCTACTTGAGCACATAGCGAACCGTTACAGAACCTGTGCCTCGACCGAATCCAGATATTCCATTCCCATCGACCCCTAGCCACCGTTAGCAGCCACAGCATATTGATTATTGATACGAGACGATCTCTACGTGTCTTTTAGGTAATGTAGCGTTCTCAATTTCCCACTGTATTGTACAGTACAGTAGCACGGGTACCGTACGGTGGAGTAGTCGATGGGGCGCATAGCATACGGTAGCATATCATGGACGGACATGGAATTGAGGATAGAGGAATAGTGGATATTGGGTAGGGTATGGGATACAGGAGGTAGTCGGGATGGCTATCTTGGGTGGCTTTTTTTCCTTTTCCCCTTCTTCTATTTTTTGCACTTCGTTGTTGCTGTTAGTGTGGTCTCGCCTTACGAATTAGTCTCTATTCCCGCTTGATTGTTGATACTCTGCGTGTAGTGGATTTAATATACTTTGCTTGTGCTTTGTATGAGGGATGCATATTACCGCGGTGGCTACCTTATTGTATGGTAGGGCAAATGTGCTGGTATCCAGGATCTCGCAAATCCTGAATTGTACGGTACATTGATCCATGCGCCTAATACCAGTTTCCATCTACAAGTACAATTATCTTCCGGCGAAACTGTTTCCATTAAGGCGGTAAGTTGTAGGAGGAAGGAAAAAAAAAAAGGAAAAGGTTTATATCGCGCATAAATGATGACTGTGATGGGAAAACAGCTCTCAGCTGAAAACGTTACCGTACAAAAATCCTTTTCTCTGGGGAAATTAATAATCACACACCCTGCTTGTATGATACTTACAGGAGGAACCAAGGTAAACACTCTTTAAGCTTAGTTGGTTGGAATCACCTTACCTGTCTGCTATCACCGGTGGACGGGGACCGCAGGCTGGCATCTAGCACCCACACATGAACATTATTTTCTTTTCTTTTCTTTTCTCATACCTTCATACCCCGGTTAGGCCCCGTAGGTAGTGGAGTAGGAGTACGAGTACAGTACTCGTACACTTGTTATCATAGGCCCAGAATTCAATACCATACCGGTATGAAAGTACTTGTATCGTCGGCAGTCTAGACTTGCTTTTGCGCGCATGTGGAGGAGACCCGAAAAGGTAAGTATCGTTACCCGAATGGAAATATGTCACTTTTCCATCCACTTTTGCATCTTCAAGCCTCCCTACCTCCCGCCACGTGAATGAGAGTTGAGTTGGTTGGCAGGTTACAAAAAGTGTAGACTGCGGGTACTATATGCAGGGCATGTACGAAGTATGTAGCTAATTTATTTTTCTCTATTGTCGCCCCTGGAGAAAGGGAGAGAAAGGAAAGCGTAGCAAAGGAAAGCAAGGAAAGGAACCAGAGAAAGGAACCAAAGAGGGACGAAAGGAGTTCGCCAATACTTTCCGCTAGGCTAAGATGTTGCGAAAAATAGCATTGAGGGTAGTAAATAGATGAATGAATGAATGAATGAATGAATAGGATGCGGATAAACGAAGAAAGACTTCATTCGGTTGTGAATGCCGGTGGCTGTACTGTGCTCGTACAGTACCTGCTGAACCCCTTAGTAATTTCGACACTTTTGTTGTTGGGTTCGCGTCAAAGGGGAAGAGGGTTCGAATGGGATGGTGAATTAATTTTGGTCTCATAACCTATGTTCTGTTGCTACGTTCAGATATGTTACCCGTTACTCATAGCCGCCAAACAGAAGACCGCTGGAGGAAACGTATCAAATGCATTCTGGTAACGCGGGTTAGTCTAGGCGTCAACTGCAACTCTCCCTTCCTTCCTCCCGGTGGCTCCATCGCCACTGGACTGGCACGGGGCATACTTTGTTCCAGGAAAGTTTGCCTTGCCAGAGGGCCGCGAGCAAGTACTGTATGATATGATACAAGTAAAAATAATAAAAAAGGAAACTGCGGCTAGTTTCGCCCTTTACCAACGGGGTGTGCATGAAAAGAGTAAAAAGGGGAAATAGGGAAGAGAAAAAAAAGAAATAGAAAATAGAAAAAATCCCTTTTTCAGGGCGTGCGTGTGATTCGTGGGCCACTTTCGGCTCTGAGGCATTGCTGCCAGATCTGGACTTTGGGGGATGGAAACCCGGGTGGGTCGAAAAATGGTTTTATTGTAGGAGTACCGGTATCATACTCGTGCAAGTACAAGTACCGGCAATTCGAAGAAAAGAAAAAATAAAATAAAATAAAAAAAATAAAATAAAAGCCGGAATTAAAAATGGTGTGCTTGAAAGGGTGTGTGGGTGTGACATGGGTTTGGAGGGATGTGGGATGGACTTTGGGAGGGTACGAGTAGTGTGGTTGAGCTCTGGGGTGCAAGGATTGGTGTGAGTGCTGTGAGTCGCTGGTCACTTCGCGTCAAGGAATTTGGACCTTGAGCTTTGGGATGCATGGTTGTTGGACTAGTATAATATCCGCGCCCTCCCCCCGCTACCCAACTTCACTTTCTCACAACTATAAGATTACCACCATCACCAACTGCAGCCATTTCAGAAAAGCTCGGATATCTCATTCCAACTTACATTTAAATACCTTTCCATTCTTCCACTCTCAAGCCAGAAAAAGGTTTTAAACATTCAACCTTAACGGCACCGAGCTTCGAACATCCTCTCAATACCCATATCGATCAACACATACAACCGCAACAATGAAGATGCCCTCCGGTTCCAAGGACGCACTCTCGGAGCGTATCCACACTTCCCTAAGATCGTTCAATTACCATGCTAGTGATTGCCCATCTTGCTGCGACCCATACTCCGTTCATCTCTCCAAGACCCTTGTCCTCTGCGATGTCGGGCATGCGCTCGCTCAGGAGGCAGCGGAGGCACTGTACGCAAAGGCTAGGACAACCCCAATGGGCCAGATCGACGTCACATTCCCAGAAGGTTGGGAGTCTGTTGACGGGTTGATCAAATCCATCACCCACCGGCTCCAGGGAACACCGAGCAACCGCATCGACCTCGAGGCAATGAAGAACGCGAAGATGGTATCTAGCAATGCCGCGAGGAGGATCGAGGCCGAGAGGAGGGGGAAAATCACATATGTTTCTGCCGAGGAGGTTAGCCGCGGAAGTTCATTCGCCATGGACCTTTCCAGGAGGGGAATTGTTGAGGTGGCTTCTGGCCCAGCAATGCAGAGGTCTAGGTCGAAACACTACCGGTACCCCGACCCTAGCAGGTCTTCCGGATTAGACCTCATTGCTACCGCCCACGACTCCCACCGCCACCACCACCACCACCACCACGGTCGTCGTGCGGATTCTCACTCCTCGAGGGAGCATGGGTCTCCAAGGAGCACCGGGAGGGCGGTCACCTTCAACCCGGATATCGAGATGCGCTACTTTTAAGTAAATGGTACACCTTCCAGAGAAAGAAGCAACCCCTTAATTCAACGAAAAGTTTGAGGAAACTTTAATTCTTTTCCTGCCTTCCAAAGGGGGAAGGAATAATACCCGACCCCATCCACCGCGCTCCACACCCATTACCCCCATCGCATTCACAAAACGCCCCTCTCCACACGTATCACCCACCCACCCCCCTTCCACCCACCGATAGCATCTTCTGAATATATCGTCTTTTCACCGACTCCCGCGGGACAACGCGAACTGAACGAACACCCTGGCAGAAGCTGCAAAAATCGGTCGACCGGCAGGAAGAACATGGGGAGGATACTTGGCAGCGTCCGAACGGAAACATCTGAAAGCCCTCCTTCATCATGGCAGGGCTGAGATCATTGTTTATCTGCCGACCTTTTCATGTACACGTCGATACCCCGAAGAAAACTAGAAGGAAAAAAAAAAAGATTGGAGAAGGCTTATTTGAGACTCCTCCTCCTTGATTGGCTGGTGGGAGCTGAAATGGGTTCTACGTTTTTGATTTTTTGATTCCTTTCCGCTTTTTCTACTTTTCTTCCAACCGTCTCTCGCTAGGAGGGGCTTGGTATAGAGAGCAGCGCGTTTTTGTTTGTACTTTTCGATAGCTTTTCGTTTCTTTATTTGTTCTCCCGATTGTTCGGATAGATAAAAGGATTTTCCTTTTTTTCTAAGCTTTGGATGAATAGGCTTGATGGAATGGACGGAAGGACGGAAAGGGACGCTCTTTAACATTTTTTCTCTTTCCTTATATTTTTCCTTTCCTTTGTAAAAGCCTTTTTATTGGCAGTTGGATATAGCAACCGGTCCTGTACATGTGCTTTTTGTCCTTCGGACGATAATCATTTCCTTTGTATTTGAATTAAAAAGATATTTGCCAAAAAAGCAAGCGAGCATTATGAATGCCTTTTTTTTTTGCCTTCTTTGCCCCAGTGACCGTGGTGATTGGACATGATATGATATGACAAAATTAGGTTTCTTGTTTTGTTTTTTTAAACTTCCTTGCACTTTTTATAAAGCTTCCCCGCATAATATGTATGCAGTATCGGTGATGTGAGGTGGTGGTGTTTTTGTTTATTCAGACGTTTCTTCATTGCTAGCTATTGTCCAAGTACGAGTACTCGAGTATTTGCCGATCCACAAAGTATCCGACATCTTGGCGCCAAGATAGGTATCAATAATGCCTAGGTGTCCGGATATTTTATGGGTTGGCAAGTGGCCAGCGATAGAATGTTAAGTTAGAGAGACTTCTCACCCTGTCCCGCCCAAGACTCTTGTGCTCATACTCGTACAGTGCCCTCGGCTAGGTACAGTGCAGTATGATACTCGCCTACAGTACCATCGGAATTTCACTTGGCTTCGCTACACTTATCTTCACCAACTGTTCTGACCGACCGTCCGACTCAGCTTCTCAATGTCCGTATTCCCTTCAGGGTCGGAACACGGGGGAGACCCCCCTTCCTTTCAGACCCCCCCCTTTGAAGTTCGAATACCAAAACTGGCCTTTAATACCGGCAGTGCACATGGGAATTCTCCTTCCACCTCGCGCCGTGCAGCATCCCACCATGCACCCCACCACAATGACTCCTTCCTCATGAAGAGCCGCACAAAACGCGTCACGAGAAAAAGTGCGAAGATTCAAGGTGCGAAGAAAATAAGAGTCATCTCATCCCATGCCCCCTCCGTCCAGTGACCGAACCAACCAAGGCACAGCGCTCGCTCTGGTGGATGTGTGGGTGTGTGATGGGCGGGGGTGAGGGTTAGACTGGGTCACGACCGCGCCTCATTTGCTTTTTTTCGCGTGTGGGGCCAAAAGTTACGAACTGGGGAAGAAATGGGGCAGTGAAGAACTGATAGTGTGACGAAGTGGACCCAACTTAACTTGGCAGGGCAACAAAATGGAGGGAGTTTTTGCGCATGATGGGGAAATTTTGGCGCCTTGTGGCACTGTCTTTTTCTCTTTCGTGCCCTTATGACGTTGATGACGATAATTATTATTATTATTTTGAAAACCTTCACTAAGTTTTTAGACCGTGTGTCGTGCCGAAACGGGGTGGTTTCTGAGGGGAACGGTTTTATCACCCCCTCCCTTCCCCTAGGGCTACCTGTTTTGAACTTCGTGGTCCCGTTGCCGTGATGCTTGCGCGCTGGTTGGGCGAGTCCATGTTGTAGTCGCCTGTTCACAGGTTCCCGGTGGAATGGGCACTTGATCGTCCGTGTTGCCCTACGGTACTTTACTGGCGGTGAATAGGTATCATACGTTCAACGTGGTTCGCGAAATTCGCATCTGATTTTTGTAGCCCTGGTGACGGTGAGGGATGGGGTTGCTAGGAATGGGCATGGAACTGGGAGGTTGATCGGGATCGGGTGGATGAGGATTTTTTGAAATGGAGTAAGATAACCTAGCGATTGTTGGCTATTTTCCTGCGGGAGAATAACTCTGTGGATTTTCTTAAACTGCTTTTCTGTCTGGCCGTTGAGATGGGTGGACCCTAACGTCCCCGTGGGTTTGGGTGTCGTGAGGTTGTTTGGTTCGTCTGTAAGGTGCTGCTGTGCCTAAAATGTCAGGTCATCCATCTATGTAAACTTTGCTTGATATGCGGGTGTGAGGAGGCCATTCACGAGATCCTCCCCCGAGATTTCTCGTTAATTGCGTGACCTTGACGACCCTGGACTGTGTCCGAAGTATCGGAGTGTAAGTGACCGAGTGGGTGAGGTCTGGAGAGCGGTATATATATCTCTTGAACGCTGGACCATAAATATACGGTCCAAATGTTCACGATAACTTACCAGCAGGGTGTCGCATCTCTCGCTTCTGCATGTAGTGGGTTTGACATTTGAAAGGCAATCGTTAGCATCGCCGGCCGGGCTGACGGGATCACCGAGGACCTGGGCCATCTAACTCTTTGCTGATTCGGAAGATATAAACTTTGTCGGCCGGTCGGTCGATCGTTTGTCGTTTCAGCCTTGTTGTAGTTGTCTCCGTTTCTCCATCATAACCCGCGCGCTCTCTCTCTCTCTGTCTCTCTTTTCCTTTCTCCTGGGGATTTGGTCCCCTATATACGGAGCCGACACGGACTGTTACTCATACTACTCAGCCCCACCCTCTGGTATTCAGGGGGTCAATCCCTGATTCTAAGGTTTAACACACAATTCATTGGTCGCCTTGCTTTTTATCGCGCAGGAATGTGGAGAGGATGGTACCAAAATGGGGGCAGCATGGAGCACAATTGCTATGTACACCCTGGCACTGGTGGAGAGAGAGAGAGAGAGGGCGAAAGGGGGTACCGGCATCGCGAGGTATGTTTGGTGCTTTGAGGGCGTGAGAGAAGGGATTTGTGAGTCAATTTGAGATGTGTTGGCAGATGAGCTCCCAGCGTTTCAGCCTTGCCATGGAACTTATTTTTCTGTAGGGACGTGGTGAGAAGGCTGGGGGATGGGGAAAAATGCTCAATTCTGAGAGCTTCCCCATGATAGGGCATTACTGTGCGAGAGTAGCTTTTTCTGGGGTTGTGTTTCCAGAGCGTTGAACCTGTTTTGGGACGGGGTTTGCTACCGTCGGGCGATTTTCTTGAAAAATTTAAAGTTGTGAGATTAGTGTGGGAGATCTCTCTTGGCCGACGTCACTAGGTAGGTGGAGGGCTGTCAGGTGACTGAGTCATACCTCGACTCACGATTTTTTGAAGAACAAGCTTATTTTGAGCCTCTTTTTTTTGAGCTTGCAGATGATGAGTATCCCAGACATGAAGTGCTTGTATTGGTACAGTACAATGCTTTATATCGTTGCTTAGAAGCGGCCTTGGATCTATTGCACCTTCTTTGTCCTTGACGGGGGGGGGTGATTCGGGGTTTCAGGATTGCTTTGGCGCATAATAGTAGGGTTGGTTGGTGCACGGCGGGGTTGCCAATTATATACGGACGCGACCTTGTTGGGGAGCTTCATAATACCGAACTTGACGACCACAAATGCTGGAGTAGATGTTGACCTCTTCATCTCCCTTTTTTCCTCCCTCCGCATTTTGCCCTACCATACTCTGTACCGACCAGTTGAAATATGGGGGGACTGGTGCAGGGGAAAATAGTGTGGGGTGTATTGGTGGCTCGGCTGCCGTGATATGCCGGTTCGGCGATACCAGGATGGTAATAAAGTTTTGATCGAAGGTGGATGCACCATATGTACCGGCATGGATTCGCTCACCGCTCGAGACTAAATTTACTCTAACACTGCGTAGAACTCACGATGCCATGACTCGTTTATGAATATTCCCAAGGCTGCGTAATTGTTACCCCTCTTCTCGGGGAATCCTCTTATAAAGTTCATCCCTACAAACCCCGTGGAGTATCAACTTTCGTGTTGTTTCTTCAGCTATTGGAATCTCCACGATGGCTCTTATTGTTTTTGTTCTTTTATGGAGTTTTATTTACTCATTCTGCCTCAATCCCTCCACAAAACTCGCTATCGCTGGAAACAATTTCTCTCCAGAGATCATTATAGATGAAATGTGGTCTCGCAATTTACTTCGAGCTCCCCGCTACCGTGAATTGCTCTGGGCTTCAGAGCTGGCACTCAGGGGTTGGAGGCTGGGGTGTCAAAAGCTGAGTACGGATATCCGATCAATAGTTTGCCTGACCCCAGTGGAATATCATACCCCATGCTAACAACCTGGTAGGGGGATCCGATTACCCGACTTCCGCAACTCCCTCTCACAGTGAGGCTTCAGCGGAGGTACGGGGGCTAAGTCAAATCGTGTCCTCCGAGAGCTCACTACGGTCTGTGTCTGTGGCAAATTTTGACAACAGAGAAATACCACAGAAAACTGTAACCGATCTCTATGTGCCATTCCGTATTTCATCAGGCTGATGTGATAGTGTGATGATACTACCGTATTTGCTTGCCCCGGTTCAGCGTGTTGCTCTCTTGCTCGCCATATTCCACATCGATCCTGGCGTTTAACATGTTTAGCCTTATATTGTTCACGTGTACTATTTCTCACATGCTTGCTGCTAACTTAGGCGATTGATAGCACAGAAATTCTATCAAAGCGGCATCTTTGTCACAAACTCTCCACTGCTGGCAAGCTCAGGAAGTCAGAGGGCCAGGACAACTGTCAGAGACCCCTGTATCACGGATTAGTGCAAGAGATACTTCATCGACGGGAACATCGGATACCGTACCGATATTAAATCCAACTGAGCTACCAGAGCCCTGATGGACCTGAGTATCAAAACTCTGGTTAGGCTATGAAGGATAGTTGATAAACATTATAGCTCCCCATTCCTCGCTTGGTATACTGTACAGGAAGCATTACCATCAATGGAAATATAACGACAACACCCCCGGAGGCCCCCAGATATTGGCGTGCATTGGAGCTACTGTGGGTAGACCCTCTGGGAGAGGACATTCCCAAGTCCTTGAGTCTCAGAAGTGCCTCCGATATGTAAGTGTCGCCGATCTTCCCCAGGTGAGAATATCTGGGGCTTACGGCGGCATTTTGCTGAGAATTTGTAGACATGAATTCGACCTAGCTCAGCACCAGCTTGTCCATTTCACCACTTGTGGAGCAGGCCTCCTCACGAAATAACCATGCCGTGGTGCATGAAAGGGGGTATCCGAGTCGGGTTTCTAAAACTACTCAAGAACTCTCCTAGGTCAAGCACAACGGGGCGAACTTTGTTATGGGTCATCCAAAACTGGCGCCCCACAAGATGCTGATAGGAGTTAGGCGAAAGGGCGAAAGGGCGACACGTTGGAAGTATGGCTGTTCTTGAACTTCCTTGGTGTCTTTGACTGCCAATAGGTGCATACCCGTAGCCCCGTCTCTGGCCGTGCGGAGACTAAAATTATAGTACCGAGGCAAGGACCAAAGCGTTACCACAACACGGGCCGGGTGGTGTTGAGTTGTCTAGGGCCCGAACCACAGAGTCATTTTTTTCGGAACAGTATAAATGCAATATTCCGTGTTTTGGTGGGTCCTGGTAGTAAAAAGGGACATACTGGTACCCGAGAATTTCGTACCCGATACATCCGCCTTGTGTATGCGTTTCTTCTAGATGATTGGGCATAGACGCAGAGTCATGAGATCCAATCAGTCCATATTGTGGCTTTGGTTTGGATTACGCATTTTGCGTGATTTTATCGACCTCCCTGGAACCAATCGTTACAGGCAATCGCAAAAGTGAGAGCTGTCAAACCTAGGGGGAGGATTATTTTGCTCTGGGGTGCTCAGATATGGAATTTTTTATTTTTTCTCTCAAAAGATGCGGTGAATATCGATGGATTCTCAGCTCCGCATTGCGTTTGTCTACTGGGTGCCAACAAGGGCAAGCGGATCCCATCGCTGGCCTAGAATCAAATCACTGGAACAGCCCGGACATCGCCAATTATTCCTGGCATGTGCCTGCCATTGTATTACCAGTTCCTGGTCCCCTGGAGGATGGAAAAGAAACCACCCACAAAAGTCCGGTGGTTATCCATTTAGCCTTCCGTTTCCTGGATGCCAGAACTAACGGAGACTTTATTGGGAAGGGCTTACCGCTTCTGAAGGACAACAGGCGAACCAGCCCACCACATTACAATAACCAGCATAGATGTGGGCTGGGAGTGCTTTTTCTTTTCTAGTTATTTCACAAAATCGATAGGTGCGTTTTGACCTTTATGATCCTGCAGAAAAATACGGGAATACTCGAGTACAGGCACTGCACGGTATTTCCTTGAAGCAACCCGCAAAGGACCCATGTTTTTGGTCTCGAACATTTGAACAACTGTCAAGTCGACCCTAGTCCACTTCCGTTCACGGCCTGCCGAGGTTACCGGCTAGTGGAGAGGTTGGAAAGAGCCCGCCAAGCCAAGATCGAAATCTGCAGGTCCGGCGAATCAGGCACAATACAGCTATCAACATTTCATCTTTTCCGAACTCTAATCTTTTCGGAATGTTAACTTTGTAGCACAACAACCAATTAATCGAATAAGCCATTCCCGTCTTGAAATCCGTTTCTAAGTATTGGCATGCATTGGGGAGGTGGGGGGGTATTTTTTGTGAGGAAGGAAAAAGGCAGGATCTCTAGCATAGCTTTTTATTGCAAAAGGTGAGCAAAATCTCCGATCCGAATTCCCCATCTCAAACTCGACTCTTCACGCAGGGGTGCTGCAACAGCAGCGAGCTACCTCTGCGCTAGTTTGGAAATGGGAGAATTGAACGTCCAAACCGGGGGCACCCTTGCTTGCAAAGGAAAAGGAAAGGAAGGAAAAAACGCACGAGCCAAATGGGTTGGAAGTTTACCTCTAGAGTTGCGGGGAGTTGCTACCGAGCGAGCGATAGCTATAGCTTTTGATTTCTGTCACTGTCGGTATTACTGAGGGGAGAGCTTGCTCGTGCGGTACTGTACATTGATCACACTATGATCGAGGAAGATATACACAGGGAACAAGATGGAAGGAACGTAACGGGATAGCTGGATGGCTGGCTGGCTGGATGCCTGGATGGATTGAATACCAGACTGCGAAAATGCACCGAACCTTTTCTTTCCAACTTCTCATCGTTCTCTCCCCATCCTCTCATCCATCCTCTCACCCTTACTGACTGATCCATCGGACACCCGCATGGATTGCGTTTTTGCAGCTTTATTTGCGGAAGGAATAAATTATAATTATAGTTTTTGGGACTCAACAGGAAATGCATGTCCTGTCCATTGACAACGGTTTCCCCCGCGATTTGCCTCTTCTTCGGGCGGACACGGGGAATAGCTTGGAGCAAGGAATCCTCGGCCGATCTGAAGGCAGTAGGGGATGGGAAGGAGCATACAGATTGGTACCGATATTGGATACAACAGCCGGGATATGTGACAACGACCTGATAGTGATCAATCTTTGCGTTTGTTGAAGGCGGTGGCGGTGGTTTGGGGATTTTGTTGTGTATTACTGTCTGGTGTGCTTTCCTGCTGGGTTTTACTGTGTCACGAAGGCCCGAAGTACGAGACGAGAAGAATGGAGGGTGTGTGTTGGGATGGAGGTTTCGTCTGATTTGGCATGGGTGCTTGCGGTCCCGCGCGGTTGTGCTGGCGTCCGCTACGAAGGGAGCGGGAGGGAGGGAAGGTAACAGGAAAGGAAATGGGGGGTCTTGGTGGGGGTATGTGTACCTCTACGTTTGGGGTTGGTGGGTGCATGGGGGTGGCGATCGAGTGTTGTGGGTGGTGTTTTTTATAGTGAGTTTGTGACGGAATTAGTGAGTGAGTGGGTGAGTGGGTGAGTGACGGTAGCAGAGATGTTATACATTACTGGACCAGCCACAGGTGCTATGTTTTATGTGTTTGAGTTCTATATAGGTGATACGAATAGAGTAGGTCGTAGAATAAGGTAAAGTATCATAGGTTACAATTTGAAATTACTAGTCATTGGGGACAAGAGAGGAAAATACCCGGGGCAGCTTGGAGAATACTATAGTTTGGAGATCGGGTTGAGCTCATTAATTACAAGTATTATAATCAAGATATTTCGCTAGTCTGCCAATATCGTACCGGCTCCCAAACCGCGCTTTAAACCACCGCTCTCTTCTAAGACCCTTTAACAAGCTTTCCCCATCTCATACAGCGACTGCCTCCAAAATCCACGCCTTGTCATAATCTAAAGCTTCTAGAAGAACCCGTCTCACAGAAACTTGGGCCAAACGATGTAGTAATCAACTTCGCCTTTAAGAGCACGGGACATTCATTGACTTATACAACTCGCAAGAACACCAACACTAGGGAGAATAACACAAAAGAGTATAACCCCCCAGAGTACTTGATATCGTATGATACAAACCGCACTCACCACCACCACCATTCACCTAACCTATTCAAGCAAGCTACCCGAGGAATCGGAAGAGTCGGCGGTGCAATAGCGGCCAAGTCAGTGTTTAACTTGAGCTTCGTCGGGACCGCTACGCTATTTTCTTTTCCCTCCTTTTCTTTTTCTTCTTCGAAATCTAGAAATGGATAGTGAGGGGTATTCTTCTGCGGTTGTGGTGGGCGTGGAGGTTCGCGCGGTGGGTGGGCATTGTATAATGATTGTTATTATGATATGTTGAGATCTTTCGTGAGGGGGGTCTGGTGCGCTTGCGCTTATCCTGTCGTGGGCTTTCTTCCGCGATGCGGTGTGATAGGCATTGTGGCGGTGGTGGGTATGGGTTAGTTGACCTTGGAGGTGGGGGGGTTTGTTTCCCTTCTGTGGATTGGTCAGTGTTTGTGGTCTACTATGATACGTGCTTCGGAGGGTCTGGATGGTTGTTTCTGTCTGTCCTGGAGTGGTTATGCTTGGGGCGCTGGACTCGTGGTGCGGATTGGGTCATAGGATGTCATGCAATGGATACTGGTTGTGAACAAAAAATTTCATTGCTTAGAGATCCGATAGCTAAGAAAAAGAGGCCGTACATGCGTAAAAACGTTACTTATTTCGTGTTCTTCACATCCACCTTCATCCGGAAAAGCTTCCTGATCGATCATCGGGTGAGCATTTATGATCACCATACATCACACAGAATCACCCATTGGCAAGTCCTCATCATCCTGCTCCAAGTCAGCAGTAGCACTTACAGCTCCCACGATGTAGGGGCGACTAACCTTGAGAACCTTCTCCTCAATGATTCCTTCAGCCTTCTCTTTTAAGGCCTCAACCCTCTCACACCCTTCCTCCAGAAACTCGCGCGCTTTTTCAACAACCATCTGCCAGGTACCCTCATGCTCGTGCATCTCTAACTCCAAGTAGGCCACTACCAGCGATGTCATTACCAGAGCCTTACTCTCATCTGTGGCCTTGTCCGAGAACAACTCCATCGTCAAGTTCTCCACGTCCGGCAGTTCCAGTCCGATCAATTGCGCCATTTCGTTGGTAACGGGGAATGAGCCCATGAACTCTTGCAGACATATTATCCTGACAACCTTCTGGCGCGGTGTATTGTTTTTGCTGGGGTTGGACCTAGTGAGAGCCGATATCGACGCGGGCTTGTGGCTACGGTGACCGGTACATGGTGTATGTGGGACAGGTACCTCCATGGGCCAGGGGGCACTAGAGTTTCCTGAATATGGTATCTCTTCTTTGTTTCCCTCTATTTCTTCTGTATCTGTTTCTTTTCCGCTCTGTATTATTCCAGTCTCGGCTATGGGGATATCATACTCGGATATTTCGGAGGCACCTTCGCTGAATTTACCAATATCGCACCTGGAACTAGGGGAGGGTGCTGAATTGAATACCATCTGCCCACGTGCATCGCTAAAAGGTTCACAAGATTCATAGAGAGTTATGGAAGCCTGTTGTAAGTTCTGGAACTCGCCATATGCCGCACTTGCTGTGACTGGACTGGTTAGTCCTGGAGCTGGAGAAGACATCTGATCCCAATCACCGTCTGCAACACCATCGCGGGGTTGCAGTAGCATTGACATGCTATCAGGTCCAGAGTGCATCACGCTAAAAGCCCCTGGGATTCTCCCCGCTGAAACCATGGACAGTGGATCCTTCGCTAGCCTTAAAGCGACTATGGGTGCTGATAATTGCCCTCCTTGGGAGAGAGCACCAACGGCATCTTCTGGCCTATCGGTGTCTGGAGTTTTGATGGAAGCGGCTGCAGGCGTTTCGGTAGTTGACCCGCTATCAGGAAGTGCATAATCATCATCACCGTCGATGCTGCTGTTGCCTTGTGACCTCATTGCGTTAATTTTCGGGTCAGCTTTCTCCCTGGCCTCCTTCTCCAGAAACTCATCCTCCACTGCGACGAAGCTGGCCCACTTGCTTGCAAGGCCCCATTTAATCGACAGGGACTCCCCTTCTCTCTCAACATATTCACTGAATGTGTCGTCTTTGTGATTGATTCCGTGTTTGTCCGAGTGTAGCCAGCTTGAGCCATCCTCTAAATCTCTCAAAGCCATACGTGCCGCGAGTTGATGAATTGTTAAACCAGGCTCTGCAAGCCGGGTGATCGGAATTAATTGCTCTCTTTCAATCCCGGGAGCGGTTCCTTGCAGCTTCACAGAGGTGGGATTTCGGAGTGAACGATCTCCCTTGGGAGAAATGAGAAGATAAGCCACAGTCCGGACTTGTGAGTATAGCGGTGGAATTTGGTATGGTGCCTGGAGTATCTCAGGGTTCTCGAGCTTTTTCAGATGTGAGAATCTGTCTTCCGAAAAACCAGGATACTCAGTTACCGCGGGTCTTCCGATGGGAAGTTCGTCATCGGAAGGAGGGATTTTGGAGGTCATGTCGAAATGTCTATCGGGATCGAGGAGTGAAAGTTTCTTTGGTGCTTGAGGAGCTGGCATACTTTTCCCTGCATTGGCTGTACCAGGAGTAACAGCAGAGGGGTGTATGGACTCCTCCTCCTCATCATCACTATCTTCCTCATCGGTTTCGTGAAAACCATCGTGAATGACCTGCAGGCTATAATGATCAATATGTTCTGTCAATGCTGCCTTGAGCATTTTCACTACTTTGCCTTCCCATCCACCTCTATCCTGTTCATCTGAACCATCCGCAATAATCTGCGAGTAACCGCCACCAATTCGAGCAATTCCCTCGACCAATGAATGGGAGACCTCCGATCCCAGACCGATGGAGAAGAACCTTAACTTTCCTTTGCTGTTCCCGGTTGCTTGTTTTATAAACCCTAGAACCCGATCCTCCTCCCAGATCTCCCCGTCAGTCAGAACGATCACCTCCGTATTCACATCTTCTAGTCTCCTCTTCACGGTCTCCTGAATGGGTTCTAGCAACTCGGTTCCACCCATGTTCGCATTAAAGTTGTCCACAAGGTTTAACGCAGCTCTTACTGTATGTGCGGAGTAATCTTGTGAATTCTCCCAGAGGAATGAGTATTTGGAGCCGAATGAGCAGATATTGAATTTGCATCCTATGGGCAATGACTTAACGAAGACATTCATGGCGGACTTTAGAGGTGCGATCATGGAATCCATTGACCCAGATCGGTCTACTATGAAGACTATCTCGCGTTTTCTGGAGCGGTTGCTCTTAAGGCCGGCGAAACATGGAACAAGAGTCACCATTAGAGCTTGCTGGCCGGGTATTGTAGGATGCGCTTCAAGCAGGGCCATGGGGGTGTACAGAAACATGGGCGTTACAGTGGTGACAAGAAGGACAAAGTCTCCACTCAAATGCGTAGATCCCTGGGATAAGGTCACAAGCGCCTTCTTGTCATCGTATTGGTTCGCTAGATTGGGCCTCCTTTTGGTGGTTGATTTATGGGTTCCAAGTTGGACGGATACCTTATGTGAAGGGCTTTCGATAGTCCGTATCCTCTCTCCCATTGTTATATCAATTGAGAAAGACATACCCTTCCCAGTCACTGTCTCGTATTTGTCTCCAAAGAGCCCTTCTGGCGGGCCTCCATATCTTGGAGCAATAGAAGTGGGCACGGTGAGCCGGATACCATCCACCTCCGCATCGTGTTTCAACTCGGTAAGATACGTGATCTCAACCCTAACCGTAACACCAGCGGGGATATTCCCCAAACTAGTTTTAAAAATCTCCGGCGTGAACGCCTTCAGTAGACCTGCCGTATGTCCCTGGGATTTGGCTTTCTCATATGTCGCCTTGGCAACCTTCTTTGGCTGAACCACACCTGAGATGATTTTCCTCGGACCGACATGGCAAACAAATGACACTACGGAGCAACCGGCGTATAGTGGGAAGCGATAAGTCGCCTCATCGATTGGTGCATTTCCGGGATGGTAAAACGATTGGGTTAATACGGTTCGCGTGGCGGTGGTAAGAATGTGGGCTTTATAGGATACCAAAACAAGCGGCAGATTTGCAACTTTGGTGACGGTCCGGGATGCAGGCTTGGTGGCATAGGCTTCCTTTTTGTTCTGCTTTTCGTTCCCCTTCTGGTGCTCCTTTTTGTGATCAGCTGGGGTGTAGTATGCGTTGTCCCGCTCTGTATTGTCCCGTGAGCATCTGTACTCAAAGTAGATCCCGGATCCACTGCGGAGGTCGCGGGGGGTGAGCCTGTAGCCTTGATGGCCCCAGGACGCTTCTTCTTCCTCATAGAGCTCCATTCGTATTATCTGCAAACAGGATCAATAGTTAGTAACTTAAGCGCTTGTGGATGCTCGGTGTGCGGGGAGGTCAAACATACATAGCCAAAGGATGGGTTAACTACTGTAGCCTCTAAATCTGCCCAGAGTGCTTAGTAGGGGTACGGCTGGTGGGTAGGTTCTTGAGGGGATTCTGGGTGGAGTGGCGTGCGGGGGGGTTTAGTGCGTCTTTAAATATTTGACTCCTTTTGATGATCATCGGCTGCGTAGGGGGTTTCTGCGCAGCAGCCTTAAGGGACTAAGCCCCGCTATTAGACTACCGGCAGAGCCGCGAGGCGCCTACCGAGGGCACGCCATGGGAGGTGCGGCCCTGCTACGGGCACATTTGTCATCGACTAATACTAGACATATCTGGCTTGAAGCACAGTAGGCAGAATTGGGTGTTTGAATTAGTTGCCGAACCGAGTACTTGTACTGTACTATGGTAGAGCATGAATTCATGGTACAAGTACGGAGCAGGGATCAGCCTTTCGATAGCAGCGGTACAGCGCTTGCAAGATGGGTACAGTACCAAAATCCTATTTAAATCAGAGTTATTGAACCCAATGGAGCTAGAGACTAAAGAACCAAATATATCCTGATCATAGCTAACAGTTTCTGACTTTATCTTTTTTCCCTTTTACCTTTTCATCACTCACTCATTTATGGCCCTGGGTTGGAACGTACCGGTATGCTTTTCCAGTGTTCCAAAATTACCTCTACACCAGAGGACAACCACCCCTGCTCTGTACCGGTAGGTAAGTTGTTGCAGTGCTAGGCTACAAGGAAGCTTGTTAGGTGACTGCCTTGCGGGACTGTCACCTAAGAGCAAGAAAGCAGCAGGCACTGATAATGTTTGCTTTTTAGGATCTTGCGCCCAATTACAGGTACCCGTGCTCCTCATTTTCGCGATGACTCTTCGCTCATCAATTTTAGAAAGGTGAGTGTTCCATCGTACTACGGTATGCTGGCATGTGGTTTGGATGAAGAGACTCCTTCTAAAAAACTACTCTGCAATAACATCGGGGTGAATCCCGGAAAACAAACAAAGAAGGAGAGCCCTCTGAGTTCGGCTTCCTTCATACGAGGTGAATTAATCATGAAATGGGCTGTGCCTCTTTCGTGGTAGCGTTTGATCAATCTGACCGCCAAGAGTGCACACGCGCCAAGATGGCGGTCATTTTCCGTCACTCGCGAATTCACCTTGTGGGCAGGGTGGTAATTTCCCTCGCGTGTTTTGGTCAGAATTGAATAGCCCAAATACGGTACCATTAGTAACCAAGACTAGAGGTCTCACGATAATTCGTAGAGTTCAACATGCTCTAGTAGACACGAAAAGAAAAGAAAGGGAAAAAGAGTCTTTGGTATCATTCCTTATAGCTATACGAAAGGAGGTTCTCCTCTAGGGAGAGGTGTATGATAGCAAGATAAAAATTACGTCCTCTCACAACCACCACCCTAACGGGTCTAGATTGCCTCCCGAATTAGATCAACGCCCTCACTACCCTCAACCGACGGGGGTTTCGAGGCGTGGAACTTGAGAGTCCAGCCCTCCCCATCCTTGTAAGCCCTAAATTGGCCCTCGTATCTAGTGCTGGGATCGTCCTTTGGCTGGAAATACGCAAGTATTTTGTCTGGCATGCAGACCTGGCAGATACGGTCTACGAAGGTGAAGTTTGTAAATAAAACGTCGGCCCTCTGCTATCTGTTAGCATGGGGAAATTATATACCGGTTGGGGAGGGGGGGGATAGGAGGAACCTTTGGAATACCGCCGAAGCGAAAATCGTATACTTGTGTACCGGTGCCATCTGTTGGGAATAAATAACCGGGGATTTTCTTGTCCGTGTAAAGCATTCCATTGGGGTCAGGGTCCAGGTACTTTTTCTTTGTTAGTTTCTGCTATCGTACCTCTGGTAGATAGGGAAGTTTGATGGGTTAGGGAATGTTACCGCTGTGATAATTTCAGACGGATTCTTAGTGATCACCGCCACACCATCTTTCAACCCAAGATACTCTGACAACGGCCCTCCACTGGCTCCCTCGGTGCGTAGAATGCGAAGACGAAAGTTTTGGGAAACAGGGGCGGCGAGGGTTATGAGGGAGAAAAGGAGGATGGATAGTATGCACTTCATTTTGCTGCTATGGGAAATGATGGGGAAGGATCCGCGTTTGGGAATTGAGATTCTGCAAGACTTGTGGTTCTCTTATATAGAGGGGCACAGGTGATGGAGGAGGAGGACCAGGGGGACTTTTTTTATTCCATGTTGTGTTGTCGTAAACACTTCGTGTCACGTTGTGTTGGGGCTCGGCTGGGAATTAGCAGAAATACGAACATCCACTATCGTGTATGAGTGTTCTGTAAGGATACGGACCTGGTACCTCCCTTGGCCACTCTTTTCCGGCAGTTCCAGTCCAATAACTGGTATTTACGGTACCGTGGGGCTTCGTGACTGGGGGATTTTCTGCTGTCCCAAATATAGTGTTTCCTTCTTTCTTTCCCCTCAATCGGCCGGGCATCCGGAAACGAGATCTATCCAACCAGTCCATCTGTCCGTCTACACCTCCACGCTAGCTTGTTTTTAATAGTGGACGACCTGGGGATATTTTATTGGGAGCGAAGGGTGAAAAGCGTGATGCCTCCACAAATACTAGACCCTCCTGCCATCGCTCGAAGACGGGATGTTTTCCTCGGTAAGATTGAATGGCGACTGTGAAATTGGCAATATGAACAGCAGACTAGCACATACCGTATCAGAATATCAGGTTTTAATTCAGCTGCGAGTGACGTTAAATGATCCCGAGCCATGTGATGCGGGCTCGCGCTCCGTCTTGGCTTCTATAATTCACCTAATCTTCTGATGGGAGATATACGAGACGCTGTGTCACACAACAATTTTGGTGTCTAATGATATCATAGGGGGAACTATTTGGTGGATACGGGGTGGTGGTGGGAGCGTAATTGAAGGCTACTACAAGTTGTTTCACAAATACTACTGAGAGAGAAGGCATAGTTACGCTTGCTTCCATGCGTGAAAGGATCATGGGAATCACACCCTGGTTTTCAACAGCCCCCCCAGGTGGCCTCTTTCGGATATGTTGGTATCTATGAAAGCGAGGTAATCAAAAATTCTGTCCGTACCCGTGTCAACTTACAACTCGTTACAACTCGTTACAATATGGGGAGGTGGGAAGGGTGGGATTGTTACCCTTGCTTTCATCAAGGGCAACCCACCAAATGGTGAGGACGGAACCCTCGATTATTCGTCTAGGAAGCCACATGATCTATAAAAATTGCGAATTCGTGTTGTGGCTTGCGTGTGGGAATGAACTTTAATGGTGTGGTGAATAGATTGAGTTTGTCTCACCTTCTCATACTGTAGATTCCCGTTATGAGATTGGCATGACCGTCCCCCCCACAGGACCTATGTGCTTCTATACCGGTAATGTCACCTGTATGATCTGCGCAGTACTATAATCCCTCTACCGGCACTCCCGAGAGCACTTGTAGGCAAGGGGTTTGGATCTTGAATACGGTTCCTCTCAATGCATTGGCGAGTGAATACGATAGTGATCTCGTCCCACATAATCTGTATACTGGGAGATTCAGGAGAGTAAGTGTGGGGGTATCACCTAACAGCAGGTAACAGGTTACACGGGGACAAACAGGTACTTGCGCACGAGCTACTCCGACTTATGGCAGCATAGGGAGTGGTGGTGATGACAGAGAGCTCATTTCGCCATACTGTCGATCAGTGGGTTTCCGTCCTCACTGCCTGACTGCTCCCGGCTGACTACACTACATGACCTTTCCTATTGAGCAAGCACGTTTCTGGCAGTTCTTTCATAAGTTAGTATGGATAGCTTGGGGTAACCTTCGCCCAGCTAGGTTTTATCATTTATGGCAGAAGCGCAGCTTGCTTCTATTGACGTACCACAAGTCAATAGTATTGGAGTCTTGTGTTGCTGGTTTCGCCCTCACCATTATCTAAAACGAGGCCTTAGATCATAGAGGGGTGGAGAGCGCTCTGCAAGTAATTTCTCAAGGTAGCCATGGTGTCCGAGATGAGTGAGCTGTGACCTGAAGATGCTAGGGGAGGTTCTAGATTGGGCTCTAGGAGCCGAACAGATAAACACTGCATAAATTTACAGAACAGTCCTCAAGAGAGTTTTCCCGCAGCCAGGGTGTAGCAGTGCTCCAAGTTTCCAAGTTTTCCCGTAAAAAACTAATCTAGAGATGAGAAGTGCTCGAATTTCTTCTATAAGTATTCTTCGAAGACAAACTGTAGTGTTTTGTGGGAAGCCTAAGTTAGCTGGTATAGGGTCTGTGATTTTTCTCAATAACCCATCTAATTAGCTCTCAACCGACCGGAGAAACAGCGATTAGCTTAAATGCTGTGGGACTCTTCAGCCCCGATCACAAGGCAGTCATCCGACACAGGGCTATGGCTTAGGAGCGGCATCGTTCGAGATCCGTAGGGGCTGAATATAGGTATAGTAGTATAGCCTATAAAATTTATGATAAGAATTGAACAGATTATTCTTCTCCTCCAGTTCCCATATAATATCATAACGCATATAGGGCTGGATCAGTTACAACCAGATAGTTATGGTATCTGCCATAAAATCCCTTGAAATTAGCCATCAGATCATTCGATATCACCGCACCAACCCCCCCCCCCAGATGGGTTTAGTTTGACAGGTTAGCGGAATTGCGAATACAAGTTGATGGGATCCAACACGTCCAAAGGGCTTGCCAGAGCTTTGTTTCTGAACCCAGGAGATTACGGTAGATGCCCGCAAGGGCCAGCGAATCACGAGAGATATACGCTAGCCAATAATTGAACAACCCTTTCTGAGACAACAAGCACTAGCTCCGGTATCCACAATAAGCTAAACAGCGCTTGGTAGTCTTCCGTGTGCGCCCACACGGTGTTGGAGCCTACAATTGCCGATGAAGGGACACTTTTATACTGATTTAAATCCATAAATTTGTAACAGTGAATAAATTAAGAGGAAAAACGCAGTCATGGGAGGATATCTCCCCAAGGGTTCCGTGGATAGTACTCGGCCCGAGCTGCACATCTTAAGGGGTATGTGATAGATGGTTTCTGAAGAGATATCTTAACTTCAGTTGGCTATATCTCCACACTGGTGGACTGATGTGGAAAAGGAATACACTGTTTTCCCTGTGCCTGGGGCTGGTAGGGTATGATGGTTAAGCGTTTTGAAAGATGTCCTATTCCATTGGTACTGCATGAAATCTCCGGTTGCTTTTTTCATGGGTCAGAGCTAATTCAAAAAGTATTAGTCCTAGCTGTAAGATCCGCTGTAAGTCAAAATTAAATATTTGGAGATACGAAATAGTTTCATTGACCGCTGGTGAGAAAAAAAAGGTAAATCCACGTACTAGCAGGATAAGTATTAGTTCTAGTGGTAGTATGGTATGAAATTCCTAGCTGGCGCAGTGGTTAATATCAGTGTTAAAGAACCATTTAACTCCTGTGCACTTAGCAGGAGCCCAGGAGTTCGATCCCTGCTCAGAAATGAGTATTTATTGGACGTTCCGTCATGTAGGGCAGGAGAATGGTCCACTCCTGACGCCCTATGGTAAATGGGAGGCAGGTGGTTGAACCCGACTCTAGACCTTGCCCTGAAAGAATGGGGTGGAGGTCCGCGATCGGCGGTGATTTTTTTCCCTCTCCCTCCACCGATCCATCTATATGAGAGAAGTTATAATTCCTGAATTCTATGCAGACTCTCTAGTGCGGATACAACGGAACCAGCCTCCCAAAGTGATCATTTGCCATCAACCCCACTGTCGCCATTGATCTCCTTGTAAGCCAACCGTCTTTTATTAAGGCATGTTCAGTGTGATTTGTTAGTAGTGACAGTGACTGGTATTTATCGGTTCATGTCTTGAGTGTATCACCGCTCTTGATACTTTTTGCGAGGATCTCCTAACTCAAACAAGAATAGAGAGTCCTGTCATGCTTATCAATACCCTCGTACCTGACAATCTTCGGTCGGCATCACCGCTGGTACACGAGCCCTATGTTCTTGTGTTCTCGGCGGTATTTTATTTGTTCAGGACCCGAGGCCTGTTGCTGTATTGCGGACAATTGTAACAAATATTCATGTCATTGGCTTTTCTAGCAGCCCTCTCCACCGCGGTAGATAACTTCCTTCCCCTCCCCCCCAATCCCCATCACTGCCATTCCATACTTTTCGAACTGGCGGTTTACGGGGGTGCCGGGCACTACAGACGTTAATATCCCTTGTTATCTATACTTTGTAAAGGTGAAAAAACAAGAAATATTTTCCGGTCCTCTTAAGATGCGCGTATATTCAAATTTCACAACGAGTGATTATGCGTGAGTGATGTACAGTACATTCCATGCTTTTCACGAGAAACCTTCCCAGCCCAGTGAAAGGGGGCCTACGGAGTGCATGAATTCCCCACGGATATGTATTCGCACATAATTTGGAGTCTGTATTACCAGGACTGCTGGTATCGTAAGTCCATAGGCTACCCCCCAAGGGAAAAAAAACTGGGCGTATAACTTAATCTCGGAACCGAAGCTGGGAGTTAGCGGGTAGATTATGCACTATCACTGCAGCAAGGGAATGTGTTAGGGCATCCTTTAAGGAGAATATCTTCCGCACAAGTCTTGCGATTGGTCGTCTGCTTTTTTTTGTTCCCCGATCCGGGGTTTCACTGGGTCAGGTTGTTCCCTTAAAAAAAACTTGCGGAAAAGTTTGGGCCGGGGTTGGAATTTCAGACTTGGTATCGTAGACCATACATGAGACTTGCGTTTCAATCGCATGCAAATCTCTGATAGTGCGGGATCTTATAGGAGCTGTTTTGTCATCTCGGGACGCGTTTCGGGCCCAAAACAAGTTTTTGAGATGACGGTAGTCAAGTGGTTGGCAGGTCGTCGTTTGCAAAACACGTTTTTGCAAACATGTTTCCAGGAGTGTTTTCATGTAGGGTTAAGGATTGTGCTAAACATACCTGGATTACAATATAAAATTGATAGGACGTCTATTATTATGAGGATACTAGTATGCAATAATATCATAATAATAGTATTATGATAGTAGAAAACTTTATTTTAAAGAGGATTGATAAGTTGAAAAGAACTACCTCCGTACACAAAATTTTTAACAAAACCTAAGCGATAAGTTTCCAAACTACATGCTGTTTGGCAGAGCGTTATTGGCAAAAAAAACCCCATTTAGAGATTTTTCCTAAACGTGCTTATCAAAACGTATTTTGAGATGACAGTCATCTCAAACAACGGTTTGCCAAGCTGCTCCTTATATCATATGAGTGGCAGGAACCAAGCAGACCAATCTACCGGTAGCCAGTTGGGCTGGGGAGGTTACATAGGAATAATTGAGTGGAAGGGTTCGGGGTTCGGGGGTTATATAAGTGACCATTGGACCCTCTCGGCTGCGAGCTGATCGGGTCTTGTGCGGTGAGTTAGATAGATACTACTGGGAAAGGCAGCTCCAACATCCTAGCGGGAGGTTCAGCTATTCCGGTTCTTGCTGCACGGCAGCTTGGACGCAGCTGTGTTTTTCCACCTCTGTCATATTTTGATTCCGATTTGTTCTCGGCGGAGGGCTGGAAGTCGGTTTTTTCGGGGTCCAATTATTCCAGTTCTCACGAAGTACCTTAAACCGCCTCTGAAATGAAATGATGGCGATCATTTCCGCATTATCGAAGCTATCCAGGGAATATTCCATGTCGCCCCAACTTTACAGAGGGAGGAGGGATTTGCGAAGGTTATTAAACATGGGCGGCGTACTCGGGTCGGGTACAGCACCTAACGAGCGTTCTCTCAGAGTGGAACTCGGAATACTATTAGGTATATTATAACTATGTCTCCAATGAATTTCGGATAAGAAACAGCAAGTGATAGCGCACAGCACAGCCGCACCCAGCCATCCTGGACAGTCAAAATCTAGAGGATCTGTCTGGTAAAGTGGGAATCCAGGGCCGCGTATCGGGTTATCTTGGAAGGAGGTTTAGAACTCACAGAGGGTCGAATCGTGTGGGGAAGCAAGGTATCCGGACTTGAGAGATACGGAGTAACCATGTGTAACCGTATCCTACTTTTTCCATTTCATTCTCTTATTTTGTTTTTTTCAATCCCTCTCCGCCATAGTCCTCCCGGTCAGCAAATCAGCACTAACGGGAGTCCACACCCAAGTACCGGTATTTAGACCACCATCCTCACGTAGATCCCCACATAGCCATAGTCGTATACACCTGCTTAGCCTCCGGCACTGAATACCCATACCAAAGAAAAAATCCCAGTGCGATGGGCACGCCATCGACAACAAGGCAGAGGCCCACACACAAACACCCGCGTCATCAGCATCATCGCCCCCTCTCACGCCTCCCCACCGAATCCTCAAAAGTCACAAAAAGATGAAGGGATAAAGGGACTCACCCCCGTAGCACGCTAGGTCATACCTGAGCGATGGCCTCGCAAGAACTCCCCAGATGGAGTCCAATACGTGGCCTATGCCCCACGGGTATAACACAGGGCTAGGATTTGCGAACAAGTGGCGATGGCTGGAACTTGTTCAAGGCGGACAAGTGGGGTAGCTCCCGTAACAGCGACGGAGAAGTTTGTTTCTTGAAGGCTCAAAAATGACATTGCCCCGGATGCTAGGACCAGGTGGTCAATTGCTGACTGAGTGGCGGTGGCGCCGTGGACGGTGCATATACCGGTACTCCAATATCGAATCAGGGGTGGCCACCACCTTTACTGGTTCTAGCAAAGGAGGTTGATGAAATGGTTAGCAAATGGATATGACAAGAGAAGAAAACCTGAGGGAAATTGCGGAAGCAATATTCCCCAACGGGATTAAGCATCTTGCTGAAGGTATTTACGCTACGCCATGGTGATTGAAGTTCGAGATCTATTCCTGCGGGGGGTTTATATGTGATCTCCATTCTCACCGCCGAGATCGCTATTACGTGAGTGGGAGGAAAGTACCAGTCACTACTTAGGATATAGATGGGTTTCCGTGCTGTGAGTGGGAAGTTTGGGATTTGTGGGAGGGGGAGGGGGGGTGTGAAGGCTACTACTGGGGTGAACTGGTGCCAGACGAAGATATTTGGGTTGAGGAGGAGGTAGCTTGGTTCGGAGCTATCTTCACTGGGGGGTTTTGTGTAGCGTGCAGTTGGTTGGTCTGGGTGCGGTTCTCATGCTGCGCTACCGATCACAATGCACATTTTGTCACTCGGTTTTAAAAATTCACCACCACTTATCAGGAAAGCTCAAGTATATCGCCCCTCACTACCGCGACCACTCAATTACCCCTCGCCCCCAACTCCCCAGAAACCAGAACAAGATTCAATCGTCAACGATTTATATTTCTATCTTCAACTTATCTAGCAAAAAAGCGTGAATTGTAAGATAAACACCAGCCCTACCCATCCCCCATCCCACCAGGAAAAAAAAACAGAACCAAAAACCGATCAAAAACGAAAAACTCCCTCCCAAAAAAGTATTTGGAACAATCTAATAATATCTCCCAGAACTCGTTCTCTGAACCTGTCCAGGTCTCGGCTGGGGCTCGTCGTCATCGTAATGGGTGCGAATGGGAAGATCTCCACTATCACCATCATATTGCTGGACGAGATTTCCCTCATGGTCCCGGGTCTGGTAAATTGGTGGGCTTCCGCGCCCCTCGCTAGTGGGTGGGGAGAATTGGGAGTGGGTCCTAAGACCAAGTGGTTGAGACCCGGTATGCTCTTGTACGTAATCGCCATCGGCATTCCTGTGCACGGAGAGGCCGGTGTTGGAGCGTGAGGGTGCCCTGGGGCTGTCGTTCCATTCGGGGTCGTAGTTGTGTACTCGAAGGGCGGGTTCCTCATCCCCGTCCCATGTCTCAACGAGGTTTCCCTCGGCGTCTCTGTATGTCCTTCCGCCGGAGCCGTGGTTGCTATCGCGGGGTGGGGTGTTTACCATGTTGGAGTTCTGGCGGGAAATGGAGGAGCGAGGGGGGGATTCCCTGCGCCCTTCCCTCCCGAAGGTCGAACTTCGTGAGGGAGGAGTTGAATAGGAGGAGATGCTTGCCCTTAGATCGTCACCGATGTCGTGGGAACCAGTTTCTGCGGCTCTAGAGAGGATTTCTCGCATGGTCTCGTCGCGGAAGAGGATCTCCTTCTGGGGGCGTTCTCTGCCGAAGCCGTCTTCATTATCGTAGCCTCCGTGAAAAGACATTTTTAGATGGAGTGAAGGGAGGTGTGTTGAAGGAGGTGATCGATGTGATAGAATTGGTTATGAGGAAGGTTTTGCTTGCTTGAGTCTCGCTCGAAAGTATGCTGATGGAGTGAAGAAAAAAAAGTGACCAGAGACGGAGTCCAGGTGGGTCTTTATATCCAATTTGACGACCACGAAAAACTTGGTTCATAAGTTTATTACCAAGGTATTTCGTTCACACAGTTGTGTTCTTTTTTTTTCTTTTTTTCGTCCATCAATTACCTATTCCTCTTCTTCCCGATTCCCATCACCGCATCTACTCGAGTACCATTGTTGTTGTAGGCTCGCCACTTATTATTCCGCATGTATGTGTTGTTTTCACTAAACCACTTTCGGACCCTCATAGGCCTTCTAGAAACACAATAGGTCTCTTTTTTTCCGCCTACTCTGCTGTACAACGCCTCCCAGACCCCCCCAGAGAACTCGTCCCCCCCCCCCCAACCCCCACCCCGTCCCTAAAAAACAAAAGATCAGGCAATCACTGTGCTGGAATCCTAACATTGGCTCATTGAAATATCGTACCGGTACATCAGGGCACCCACCCAAAACACGCCAACCCCAAGCGCCCGACACCGTCCAGTGAGAGAGCAAAGGCAGCCCACCACACCGTAAACCCCTTCCCGAGTTACCGGTATCCTATGGTACCATGCTCGAGTATCGTACTTGTATGAGAACGGTACGTTGCGTGGTTTGGGACGAGCTCAGCCTTCTTTTTCCTTGAGTCAACTGAATGGCTATTTCTCGCACCGCCCTAAACTTCATCCGGGGCGCCGATCGTGCTGGGGATAGTATCTTGATGTGTTGGCCGAAGAAATGCACTAGATGTGGGACCGGAAGGTTGTTCGTTGACAAAGTACCATAAGCAAAGTTGCTAGGGCCCAGGAAGAGAGGTCACAACTACATTTTACGGAGAGGGGTGTACATGTGGTACTGCGGGGCGGGTTGGCAACGGTTGTGTATCGAGGTACACGTTTGATGTCTCAGCAACAAGTGGAAGCAAGATGCAACCGCGGGTTGCAGTTGGGCGGTTAGAAACGAGCCAATAGGAGAGCGGTTCCGGAACCCGCAAGCAGCGCTGGGTGGTTGGTCTTGCTTGGGAGGGGCCAAGGACCAGCGAAACGAACAGCTCAATGCGACATCACTCGCGAAACCACTGGATACGTCGTGGGGAAAAAAAACCCTCCCTGATCTTTTCCCCTCCCCGCCCCAACACGTTGCTCAATCAACATGCGTTCCCTCTCGTAGCAGGCTAGAGGTACTACTCGTACGCCCGAAGACAGGGATCGTGAATTAGTATGTGCGGTCAGATATGAACAGCTCTTTTTTTTTTCCTGCCATGTATTTTGCGAATCCCTGTTCTCGGGCATTTCTTGCCTACCGGTACTAACCAGTATTACACGAGCACAAGCACGTAAACGAGTGACAAGATGTGTGGTGCTCTATTGTATCGTAGTTTAGATGCACAAGCGGGGAAGGGGTGGAAGATCTAGAATCGGTCGCTTAAAATATGAATAACATCGCAACACCATTCACTCGAGGAGAAAATAATAATCTAAGATATTATGATACAAGCACCAAGGCGTTCGGACTCGAAGGCGGAAAGAACATAGGCCCTTTCTCATGAGGTATATTACACCAATGCTATTACAACCTCGTCTCTATTTTCCTATCTCCACTATCTAGCATCTACCAACTTGAAACCCCGCCCTATCCAAGGGCTCCGTTCCCTGAAATGCGGGAGCCGACCGTGATAGTGGCGAGGCCCGCGAGGAGAACTGGAGCTCCGTCGGCAGTATCATATCATAGCAATTCCCGTTGGAGCGGGAGCCCTAACTCCGCGTCACTAGAGAGATATACCGGCGTATCATATCAAATGCCACCCCACTGGCACACGAAACCTCTTTCCTTGGCCCTCACGGCGCGTTTAATGGCAGGTCCCCAGCGGTGCATCCATTCTTCCTCAGTTAATACACACTCTCGTCGCGTCCCGCCACCTTCGTCCCTCACTAGGCGAGACATTCTCCAAGTCATAGTAGCAACGTGATACCGTTTTGTCATGAACCAAAGGTATGGCCATGCGAATATCCAGAGAAAGGTGATGTAGAATATCCACCGGAACCATTCTATCTTTCGCAACTTTGAGATTCTATTTGCTGGATAGACTTTTACTCGTTTATTGTGAATTAGAAACCGGACGGATAAGTTATGGGCGTAGCCAGTTGATCGGACGCACTCCTGTATCTGGCGCTTCAGATAGGCACGATCGTGTCCGACTACCACTTTCTTCATCAGGAATCTATGACCGGATGCATGAGCATTATCCATGAGATGGGGGAAGGGGAAATGAATGCATAAATATGTAAACCGCAGGTAAAGGTTGGCTGGATTGGGGATGAACAAAATGATCAAATATATAGCCTGTTTAATATCTCGATAGAAAATATCGAAGATATCATGAGGGGCAAAACTTACTCCTTGAGCGCAGATTGGTCCTCACAGTATTGATCAGCCCAGTCTCGAACCGTCCGGCCCTCTTCTAAGTCCTTGGCGATAGATTTGAATCTCCCGTGGCCGCGGTGGGCTCTTTGATTTGGTGGAACGGTCGCCAGAGTCGGTTCCCCTATATGGTTCTGCTCCAGTAACAGATGGGTAAGATCGCAGGAAAGATCGAAATCAGTCACCAATTTACGGCCTTTTCTCCCGCCGCGGTGAGTTCCCCATATCCGGATGCACACGCTTGGTGGTCTCGAGCGCTGTTCTAACAACCATCTATGATAAACGATCAGGCAAATTAACATCTAATGTAGTGTTTCGACCAAATAAACAAAGAGATCCAAAATTGAAGAGTTAGAAATTTACCGGTAGAGCGCCTCGCCATCAGTATTAAGATGTTCGTCATGGGAAATAATCAGGGTTTCACCGGTGCGCACAGATTTGATCCGCTTCATCTTAGGAACATACACCTCAAATTCAGGTGGGGCATCAGTGTCAACCCCTCCCTCCGTCTCCCCTCTTCCGACTCCTCTTACTCCTTCTCCATCCTCTCCCCCCACAAACTGCTTCGATCCACCAACGCCATCGCGGTACTCCGGTAGCACCTCCCCAGAACGACACGGCTCGTCCTGAACCGGGAGAGGGACTGCTGCGGAGGAGGAGCTGCCTCCAACCTCCTCCTCATGGCCGCGATAGGCAGAGGACTGCTGACCCTTCGATTTCGACATTTTTCTCTCTTACGCTGAATGTGCGGTGTGGAAATAAGCTCTGGTAGGGGCCTATGGCTCCGGTTAAGTACTGCCTTAGAGGTGGTAATTCCTACCGTACTACTCGTAACGTCGTGGCGTTTGTGGAATGGACCGCTATCACAAACGTCACGACATCACGAGTATCGAGGCCAGTCCGTTAAGGGGGAGGGACCCGCAATGCTTCCAGTGGTCCCGTCCGGTGAAGACAAGACGGGTCCGAGCTACAGAAGACAAGGACCACGCTGCCCAGAACGAAAACCGGCTTAGCAGAGCAAAGGTGATGTAGACTGTGGTCGCCCACGGTTGCTCCATTGACCGTAGTGATTGACCCCTTTGATGATATCAGAACCCGATAGAGTTGGTCTTGGGCGGGCAGAAGTGCACTATGAGCCAGCTGTGCTAGAGGGTGTCCCCAACTCCCAAAAATGCGAAAATTGCAAAACACAAGTTGCACCGGCACCCCGCAACTGCAGTTATCTCAAGCTAGCATAATGGTAATCTGTGAAAACAGAAGTCGCGGTGGGGTCTCCGGCCGACACGCGAATGGTGGGCGAGAAACGTACTCGATGTAACATCGCGATGACAAGTTTGTTGCTGTACAGGACCGTTTTTGACTCCTGCAATCCTGCATACTCGTACATAAATAACCATCCAATCCCTCAACGTGATCTCCAACAGCTATTTTTGTCAAATTGTGAGCTCACATACAGTAGGTGTCCACTATAAGCCCTATTGCAGAGCATTGTGGTAGCAAGTGGGCTCGGGTTTCGACGAGCAGTGGGACCAGGCATTGTGAGCGTTAATTTATCTTTCGGGCATCTTTACCCCAAATTAGCGATTCGCTTTATGCTTGCAAATGATCGGGTGTGGTTGGGTTAGGGTTTTTATTCGGTATTCTTGGTATTCCCTGGACTCTCTGAAACGTCAAGTTCGTAGCCAGGCACGCGATCCCGGCCCCGGAACCGTTTGAGTTTTGTGATTTTTGCCGAGGATATTATGATACACCGGCGAAGAGCGCTGAGCCATTTAAGTACTGTACTGAAAATCCGAGTTTTTTTTTTTGACCAAGTTCAGCCAAACTGTTGCCAAACCTGGCCCCAGCGTGCCTAGCTACATTTCGACTATTTTCTTCGTTGTCGCAACACGATCATTGCCCTTAGATATACATGCAGCTCCAGAAGAAAGAGATCAAGAAAGGCGCCTGCACGAAAGCGTTCGCTCCCAAACAAGAGGGAATACAGCTAAAATCCAGCGGGGGACTAGTGTTGTCTCTATGATTATTGCTACCGGTAACCATGATGGTTGCTATTCTATGTAATTGTGGTACGTACAATTGTAACCCCAACAGGTTTAAATTCTATAGTCACGAGGCACTGCTCGTCTGTCTGTCCGTCAACCGCAGTTGGCCAATTGGGATGAGTCCGAGTGGCGATGGTAGTGCTTGTTGTTCGGGGCCACGGATGTGGGGGGGGGGTTCAGGCATCGAGATACATCATGCCAGTACCATGATACCGGCACTGTATTCCTAGTACAAGTAGTTTTCGAATATCAACCTCGCTCACTTTACACTACTGGAACCTGGATAGCTGATCGGTAAAGATTAGAGAAAAATGTATGATAGTTATGTCGTTACGGAGCTGTCAGAACAATTTCTGGAGTTGTTTGGGGTTGTTCCGGCCTCTGCTACCAAATGACTTGTGCGATATATTCTTCGAGTGGTGAGCCACGATTTACCAAGTGCCCGACGGACTGGAAACTTAGACACCGCAAGCATCGGTACAAGGGAAATACCGGTATGCTAGGATGCCTCTCGCAGTGAGGCCCTGTGTATTTTTCCTCTTTCTTGTCTCAACTGAGGGCTGAGTTTCCGGTGATTCACCTATCACAGAGGTGGGATTTCATCAACACAGCTCACTCACCCCGTATTCGAGAACTTGCGGTACGGCTACCGTATTCTAGCCATTCCTTTCGGGAGCTCGAGAGACTCCCAAACATAAGCTTACAAGTGGCCCCCTCTACACACTCCTATGCCATCTACCGTAGACGCCAACAGTTTTCAGTTGCTCTCCGCCAAGATATTAGCCCATGCACTAAACTCAGCATCAGCGTTGGCCCTTATGGACAAACCATTAGTCTAACCACATAGGCTATCCTGAGCAAATACCCTAACCGCCAAGAAAAAATGAAGTGAAACCGATTCCACTTTTGTTATCATACCTATTGACTGTTTGCAGCACCACAGCTCAACTTCCCAACCACCTCCCTCTTTTCCCACGCCTGCCGCAATGCCCGTACGACAGCTCGGGCTTTCTCACCACTTTCTACCCCCCAGAGAGTAGCTCTGCCCATCTCCTCCGAAGGTCGAGCTGTGAGTCGGTGTCGAACACACTACAAAGGCCGGTACTTACGAGTAAAACATTAAGATCTCTCTAGCGAGATGTCTTATATCTGGTGACATGCCAACTAGATGATATATCCACCGATCCTGCCAGAAGCTGCCCGGTCTCTCTCAACGCCGAGATGTGACCTGCCTGGATAGGTTAATGGTCGACCTATTCCGTGTTGGAGCGCTTACCCTGAGCTGAAAGATAGGTCAACAAGGCTCTACTATTTGTCGCGAAGAATACCTAACGAGACTCATCCCCGCAAGCCATCCAATGGAACAATCGCTCTACACCCCTTGCCATACAGATAACCATCACCTACCTAAACCGCCTCTTTAATGTCAGTCTCCGCAGCCTCAAGAGGTACGGCATACCTGTTGGAAATTACGTTATTCCTTTCCTATCCGGTGATGGGGCTGTTTTGGTCATGTGACACAGCCACATGACCGAGTATATATGCTATTGTATTCTAGCATCTTCTATTGTATTCTAGCATCTTCTAGAGATTTCCTTGGTATGAGGCAGTGCTCGTGTAATGATCAAGGGGTATATAAAGGGCAGGTTCAGCCCTGTTCTTAGAGAGAGTGCGCAAGCTTGGATTAATCTTTAAGTCTTCAGATTTTATTGTGGTTATCATTGTTACTTCGTTATCACAACAGTTAGTACAATAGATACAAATATTTTCAATACCGGTACCCAGCTCCACCGTAATTATAGTTTCTAGAGTCTCGCACTTCACATCCGGAACTAACATATCATGTCCATTTAGATCTCTGCCGAGGTCGTGGATTCACCACGCTGTATAGCCTCTTGTTGGTGCCCGTGGGTGTGATAGGTTCGTGGACCGGTGTCTGGGGAGATACGCTGAGCGATAATATCGTAACCCGGGGACCCGGCGTAAGGGAATTGTACGCCATGACTTCGGTGTAGTGAGGTGCTGGCGGGGGCCAAGGAACAGCCCCAAGCGCTCGCCGTCCGAGGAGTCTGAACATGTTACTATAGTTTTTGTCTCCCGAAAGATTCCCACTGCTCTCGTGACTATTCACAGTCTAGTTATTTCAACCTCGTACGTATCAGTTCCCCAGAATCAAGTTCACCCACTACTATATGTTAGCTTTGTAAGAATTGTTATAAGTTAGCCTCTATCCCACGCGCCTCCCCAAATGTCCACCGGCCTTTTGAGCGGCCCTGTCTAGTCTCTCATCTCCCAATAAAATGATATTATATCCAGCTTCCCAATATCCAGTTCAAGCGACACACCGCACTAAACAACCGCTATCATAACATCGCCGTCCAAGCGTTGTCAACCTTTTCGAGCTTGTTTGAATCAGAGAGAGAAACTATTGTAGGAAGGGGTAGGAGAAGGTGATTAGATCCCCAACTCACCGGAGAGCTTATCGTTACATGTCAGGCTACACGGCAGCTCACTCAAAGAAAGGTTGGTTCCAAATATCGTACCTCCCTGAGGGGCTTCCTCCTCTCACTGCTCATGATAGGATTCCGAGGGTTTTCCTCATAGATAAGACTCGCTTATCAGGATCATTAAGATCGACAAGCCTCCGATGATCTTTGGCCCCCAAAACTCTGGAGATTTGATCAGACGGGAACAGGACTGGGTTGGGTTTGATACTGGTGTCCGAGATGCAAGCGCAAAAAGTCCCCATCGTGAAACCAAACATTCAGATCGTGATACGGTGGTTAATTCGTCAGCCTTATCTGGAGCAGAGCACGAGCCTGAAATATTACGTGAGAGGGTCGTCGTATGATATACACCATATCTCTTGAGGTCTCCATTGAAGTCCAAACTGGATAGTCGGTTACTGTGCCAGGACTGTATTCAAATAATATTCCAAACGTAAGTTCACCTTCATCCACTCTCTAAGTAAATTAAGTTCATCTCACCTCTCGGCAAACGCCAGACAACCATAGCAAAACCAGAATACAATACAGTGCCAAACAAACTAGCACGAGAATTCTAACTTTAACATATCATCTTCCCCGCCACCACATGCTATCCCCACCAAAAAACGAAACCCGCCAAAAACTAACCTGCAGCACAAGCGAAGCTGACAGGACTAAGAATAAGGCCAAAATGCGGGGGGGAGCGTGCCTGACGAATATGCTGACCGGGCTGATGGAAGCAATTAAAAAGCCATAAGCTTCGGAGGCTGGAGGCGAGATGGGGAAGGAATAGGAACGCTCCGGGATTCTGCCGCATGGGATGACCCGTGTGGATTAATTGGCCGTAGTGGAAGATACGAGTGAAAGTTTTTTGTGAGAGATGTATGTAAATATAGGGTGGATGGTTCGGGGATTGAAATGAATACGGTGCTCGATAAATATGTTGCTTCGGGTGGTACAGTACCTTAGACTAGAGAATATCATGACGGTCCATGATGGGTGTATCCTCGTGAACCTGGCTGTAGTAGCACCATAAGGTTTCGGCGATAGAAAATGATCTATAGTAGTATCGCCGTCGGTCCAGTTTTTCGAGTACTCGTATAGTACTGTAGTATAAGTACCGGTATGCACAACGCGGGCCCACTCCACTGTACGAGAACGATGGTAGGAGCCCATTATCCTGGATAGTCAGGGATATATTTGGCTGGTAAACCTCAAATAGTAGTTCCATGACTTTGCTGCCGGACTTATATGGCACAAATGCCTTCACGTGTCGCCACCTCCTGCTCATGGAGCGAGATTAACACCTGAGGTCGATGCAATCAAAAACGGCCGAGAAGTGACTTTGGCAAAGGAATTCACCACCTCTCAAAAAGCCTTAGACGTTTGAGAAACAAGTTCTTGAGTGACCGAAACACCACGGACCGACCTGTCATCTTAGATTTTGGCAAATTCGCCTGCTTCGTTGATGTCCTAGTGTTTTGGGGGTGCCCGGGCTATTAATGTTTCCAGGAATACATTACCGGTGGTGTGCGGTGCATATCAGGATAAGTAACCATAACCAGTAAACCGCTATCCCATCTCGAAACCCCTGTAAAACTTGGAGGGGGAATTAGGTACGATATGATGAGGCCGCACAGGTCCCTTGGAGTCTACGATATAGTAGCGGGGGTGGGGACAGTCTACCGGTATTAGGAACTAATTGCGGTATCTCGACTTACTCAACCCCCACTGCACTATGCTTACTCACAAGGGGGAAGCAGGCAAGCAATAACATGTCGCCTAACCGTAACACCAATACCAGTGGTAGGACTCTATTCTAACGCCGTCAGTCCCACCCGTTACCATAACAAGGACGTTATATACAAGTACAGCAACTTGGCCATATCACCAACCGACTGCATCTGACAAAGGAGAGCAGACAACCGGCCCCCGTCCCCGTCCCCGTCGTCCCCATCCCCTCCTCCCTTCTTTCCTTCCATCTCAGTCCG